CATGGATGGATTCTCTACCAATATAAACATTATGGGGTAGGTCATGTCTATTGAAAGTAATCTTGGCAATATTAGTGGAGGACCTACGGCAGCCTCTAGGGGGAATGGTGGAGCATTGTACTGATACTATACCACAGACCAAGAGGCAGGCAAGTAAGTCTTCTCCACAATCTGACCAATCCTTGTCATAGACAGGCAGTATGAAGGGGAGACAGATATTTCCAATGCAAATATTGGGGTAGGGATGAGGCTGGATAGGAATGGGTTTGCCAGCAAAGTCAGTTAGGGTTGAAAATTCTTCAGCTTGGGATTCTGATGTAACTGTGGCAAGGTAGGAGTGATTGAAGCGGCTGCGGAAGGAAATTTTGCCTACTTATTTATGAGAGGCATTGCTAGAAGTGTGTTGTCTGAGTATGGGGCTGTAGAGAGGATCACGGAAACTTGATCCCATTTGGCTGGGTTAAACATCATTTTCAAAAGGTTTGTAATGGTTAATGGTTAAAAGCAAGATAAATGTGCTAGACATCTAAGGTCATGTAGCACTATAGTTAATGTTAGTGAAAGGTGGTTGAGTTAGTGATTAGTTGTCTAAGCTGGGCAAAGGAATTGGTGAGTCAAAGGGTTAAGGTCGGGTGTTAGATTAGATAAAGGATATGTATGCGTTTCAGGAAAGAGAACAGGTTGTTGATGCAAGGTTTGTAGAAGTGGGGGTTATAAAAGGACGGGGATGTGTGGAAGACATAGTACTGCAGCAAGGTGAACAATAAGGCTGCAGAATAGTTATATGGGAGGAGGGGGTAGTAGATAGGGAAAGCTGTGAGGTAATGAAATTTTTGAAATCCTGTATGCAGTGCTTTGTAACTAAGTTAAGCTGGTCTCATATAAAATTGAAACTGAAAAAGGCATAGCATATTTAGAATTTATATTAAAAAGTTCTTTTACCTCAAAGATTCTCAAGGATTTATTCATGTCTTACAAGAAGATGCATACTAAAATTTTCAGTTTTTCTCACATGCAAGGATGAAGGATGAAAAGAGAGAACACTTCACCATAGAATTTTATTTTCTTTCAAATATGCCTTGTGATTAAATTTACAAATATCTGATATCAATTTAAAGATATTTCCTTATATAAAATGACCAAAAACTCACGTATCTTCCTACAATTATGACAAGTTCACATCTGCCAGCCACTTTCACATTCTATCACACAGTGTATACTCTATCTCAAGAGTACAAATTGGAAAATGCTTCTTCTATGTGGGAGTACACATATTAACATATTCAATCATACAACCTTATACACACACATACATACAAATACACTAAGTGTGAATGAAGTGCTGTACACACAACTCAAAATGGACCTGAAAAACCATGCAACTTATTGGACATTTTGGATTGCACAAACATAAGCACAGTGTTCAGGACTCATAATGGAGAGCTAAACTGAAGCTGTAATGTACCTCATGGGGTCCATCAAGAATTTATTCTCTGTATATATATATACATATACACACACCTCTCTGGATTTGGCAAAATAAAATTAAATGTCTTTATTTGATGAAGTGGCCTAAAAAGAACAATCTGAAATTTCCTATAAATATAAAAGATCATTACAACCCCAAGAAAAAATAAATCTAGAAGTGTCAAGAAAATACTTTTGGTTCTTTACGAAATCTTCCCTAGATAAGCTATTGTCATTTAAGATTAGCAACTATTTCAAAAGCTGAGCAGACAACTTAAAGAAAGATAATTAAAGAGGATTAAACGGCTTATGGTATGAACATCAAGCTTGTATAAAATATTCCAGACTTATCCTTATTAATCCTACCAAACTTCCCAAAATCCTACCAAATTCCCCCAAGGAGATAATTTTGACGGACTGTAAAATGCCCAATTGCAAGCTTTTCTAAAAACATCAGGTACGTATATCCATTCCCCATAACCTTGGCTCTTGCAAGGCTAATGCATCTACAGGACTGGACTAACGAAACATTCACACATAATGAGCCCAGGGAGAGATGAAAAAAAAAAAAAAAAAAAAAAAAAAAAAAAAAAAAAAAAAAAAAAAAAAAAAAAAAAAAAAAAAAAAAAAAAAAAAAAAAAAAAAAAAAAAAAAAAAAAAAAAAAAAAAAAAAAAAAAAAAAAAAAAAAAAAAAAAAAAAAAAAAAAAAAAAAAAAAAAAAAAAAAAAAAAAAAAAAAAAAAAATTAGCTGAGCAGACAACTTTAAAGAAAGATAATTAAAGAGGATTAAACGGCTTATGGTATGAACATCAAGCTTGTATAAAATATTCCAGACTTATCCTTATTATCCTACCAAACTTCCCAAAATCCTACCAAATTCCCCCAAGGAGATAATTTTGACGGACTGTAAAATGCCCAATTGCAAGCTTTTCTAAAAACATCAGGTACGTATATCCATTCCCATAACCTTGGCTCTTGCAAGGCTAATGCATCTACAGGACTGGACTAACGAAACATTCACACATAATGAGCCCAGGGAGAGATGAAAAAAAAAAAAAAAAAGGAAAAAGAAAAAGAAAAAAGAAAAAATTATAAAAGAAAACAAAAAATAACAAAATAAAAATAAAAAAAAGAAAGAAAGAAGGAAACGAAATGAAATATCATAAAAATTAAAAATATATTCCACGCTTCAAACACCCCAGTGAATTAATTTTTCTACTGTCTTTCCTGAGGGCTACATCTCAAAAGATGAATGACACCTCCGAAGTGCTCCATGACCAGCAGGGACCTCTACTCTGGCTCCTACTTCTCATCCTCTGACTCTGATTCTGCCTCAGCAGATTTTGAACGACTGCGAGACTTGCTCTTCTTGGGAGTTGGACTATGTGTATGGGATCTGAAAGGTGAAGGTGAAATGCTAGAAAAGTGGAGTAAATACAAAAAAACATTTTAAATTTCTTTTATAATTCGAAATGCATGTAAATAGTCTGATAACTTTTCAACCATCAAAAACTTCTTCCAAGACTACCCCAAAGGACGAGCAACTCACCTTGAGCGGGATCTGGAACGGGATCTGGACTTGGACTTTGATCTTTCTGATCCAGAGCGAGACTTTGAACGAGATCCAGACTTGGAGCGTGACTTGGACTTTGAGCGCCTCTTCTTGCTGTGGCCGCCACTCCTGCAACAAACATACAACAGTACTATTAAATAAGCTCTAGGTTTTTCTTTCATGCTGATTCAGGAAAGGAAAAGAAAGAAAAAAAACTAATGTGTGAAAAAAAAGAGAAAAAGAAAGAAAGAAAGAAAGAAAGAAAGAAAGAAAAAGAAAGAAAGAAAGAAAGAAAGAAAGAAAGAAAGAAAGAAAGAAAGAAAGAAAGAAAGAAAGAAAGAAAGAAAGAAAGAAAGAAAGAAAGAAAGAAAAAAAACTAATGTGTGAAAAAAAAGAGAAAAAGAAAGAAAGAAAAAAAACTAATGTGTGAAAAAAAAGAGAAAAAGAAAGAAAGAAAGAAAAAAAACTAATGTGTGAAAAAAAAGAGAAAAAGAAAGAAAGAAAGAAAGAAAGAAAGAAAAAAAACTAATGTGTGAAAAAAAAGAGAAAAAGAAAGAAAGAAAAAAAACTAATGTGTGAAAAAAAAGAGAAAAAGAAAGAAAGAAAGAAAGAAAGAAAGAAAGAAAAAAAACTAATGTGTGAAAAAAAAGAGAAAAAGAAAGAAAGAAAGAAAGAAAGAAAGAAAAAAAACTAATGTGTGAAAAAAAAGAGAAAAAGAAAGAAAGAAAGAAAGAAAGAAAGAAAAAAAACTAATGTGTGAAAAAAAAGAGAAAAAGAAAGAAAGAAAAAAAACTAATGTGTGAAAAAAAAGAGAAAAAGAAAGAAAGAAAGAAAGAAAGAAAGAAAGAAAAAAAACTAATGTGTGAAAAAAAAGAGAAAAAGAAAGAAAGAAAGAAAGAAAGAAAGAAAGAAAAAAAACTAATGTGTGAAAAAAAAGAGAAAAAGAAAGAAAGAAAGAAAAAAAACTAATGTGTGAAAAAAAAGAGAAAAAGAAAGAAAGAAAGAAAGAAAAAAAACTAATGTGTGAAAAAAAAGAGAAAAAGAAAGAAAGAAAAAAAACTAATGTGTGAAAAAAAAGAGAAAAAGAAAGAAAGAAAAAAAACTAATGTGTGAAAAAAAAGAGAAAAAGAAAGAAAGAAAAAAAACTAATGTGTGAAAAAAAAGAGAAAAAGAAAGAAAGAAAGAAAGAAAGAAAGAAAAAAAACTAATGTGTGAAAAAAAAGAGAAAAAGAAAGAAAGAAAGAAAGAGAGAACGAAAGAAAGAAAGAAAGAAAGAAAGAAAGAAAAAAAACTAATGTGTGAAAAAAAAGAGAAAAAGAAAGAAAGAAAGAAAGAAAAAAAACTAATGTGTGAAAAAAAAGAGAAAAAGAAAGAAAGAAAGAAAGAAAAAAAACTAATGTGTGAAAAAAAAGAGAAAAAGAAAGAAAGAAAGAAAGAAAGAAAAAAAACTAATGTGTGAAAAAAAAGAGAAAAAGAAAGAAAGAAAAAAAACTAATGTGTGAAAAAAAAGAGAAAAAGAAAGAAAGAAAGAAAGAAAGAAAGAAAGAAAAAAAACTAATGTGTGAAAAAAAAGAGAAAAAGAAAGAAAGAAAAAAAACTAATGTGTGAAAAAAAAGAGAAAAAGAAAGAAAGAAAAAAAACTAATGTGTGAAAAAAAAGAGAAAAAGAAAGAAAGAAAGAAAAAAAACTAATGTGTGAAAAAAAAGAGAAAAAGAAAGAAAGAAAGAAAAAAAACTAATGTGTGAAAAAAAAGAGAAAAAGAAAGAAAGAAAGAAAGAAAGAAAGAAAGAAAAAAAACTAATGTGTGAAAAAAAAGAGAAAAAGAAAGAAAGAAAGAAAAAAAACTAATGTGTGAAAAAAAAGAGAAAAAGAAAGAAAGAAAAAAAACTAATGTGTGAAAAAAAAGAGAAAAAGAAAGAAAGAAAAAAAACTAATGTGTGAAAAAAAAGAGAAAAAGAAAGAAAGAAAGAAAGAAATAAAATTATCCACACACTTTCATTTCCCACACAGTGGTGGCTGATGGATTAGATTTACACATTTCATTACTCTTCTCTTTAAGATGCAAACTTAAAACGAGTGTTATGGACTAATGAAGGAATGGACAGTGTTCCATTATCAACATATGTCTTACCTCGAGCGAGAACGAGACCTAGATCGAGATCTAGACCTTGATGATGACCTAGACCTTGACCTACGCGAGCGCCGAGAACTCCTTGATTTGGATTCATCCACCAGGCGGATGCGACGTCCATGAAGCTCCTTCCCGTCTAATCTATGCAGGGCATTTTTCATGTCTGCATAAGTGGCAAATTCTACCACCCTGCTTGCAAATAGAAACCAAACAAAAATATATTAGAAGATGAGTAAAGCAATAATCATGCTATGTATATCAAATTTATAAATATAGTGAGAATTATATGATGTAAAAACAAAAAACAAAAAAACAATTCAATATTTCTTCCAGAGCATTTATCTGACAGGTGTAATTCAATAACAATAGGTGCTCTATTAGGCTAATACTTACCCTTCATTTCGCCTGTATTTATGAGCATCTGCATACGTGACTTCTCCAGCCTGACGCATAAAATCCTTGAGATCCTGCAGAGGAACCACAAGCATTATCTCTTATGCCCTTCCACATAGGGAATTATGATAGCAACATTTGTGTGGCAATGTTTCCACAACCACCTTCCCCCCGAGCTGGACCAGGTCCCCTCAGGAGGCCTCTAGGAATAGCGACTTGTAAGAGAACATCCTAACATTCAGTAATGGGCACCATTACCTTCAAGCCTTCAGCTCCCTTGGGAGGAAACTGTAGGACACTTATGAAGAATATTAATCTATATTTGCCCATATCATCCAATCAAGAATCAATTAAGCTAAGGAAAAAGTTAAATACACTGACACATGTAAGCCATGACAAAAGACAATCTGGCAGAAACTTACTGAGAAATGCAATAACACAAACTATGTAAAGGAAGCTATACATTACACGTATCAGGCGTCTTACTGTTGTATCTTAATAAATATGGGCTTCACATGTCTCGTATACCTCTGGGTCAAAAAGTGTTGACCTGACAGAGCCTTTCAGACTTGACCTCAGCGGGTCCCTGCAGCGTGCAAACCCAGCCAGCCAGTCAGGATAAGGTGACCGAAAGCCTGGGACGGAAGCCCCACTCCACGCCTAGCACGGACCCTGCAAGTGGTCTGTGGGGGGGATGGGGGGCGGGGCAGCAGATGTCACCGCTCCAGCCCAACAGGGTGTCCTCACACCCACGAAACGCAGCAGGGAAAATGTGTCCCACGTCCTCGTCCCCCACTTTCGTCCATACGTTCCACCTGGGCCCATGGTCTGCCCGCGCCAGGTGGTACCCTCGCCTTGCAAGACGTAACCCCACGCCTCGCCAGAACGACCGGCCCAATACGATGCTCCTTCGTCCTTCTCGCGCGAACCTTGCGCGTCCCTCCTCTCCCATGCCTCAAGCTATCTCTCCTGCCCTCTCTTACGGTGTCTTCAAAAAGACATCGGCAGAGAGTTAGGGTCTGTTTTAACAATGAAACAGCAACTCTTGCTACTTGCTATACTGTCATATACCATCAACTCAAGATGATAATCCATGAACTTGGTAATACTTCTTAAAACTTTCCCTACACCCACCAAAAATAAAAAAGTGATTTAAGAATCCACCACTGAGAGCCAGACCGCTTGCTGAATCATACTTACCTATCCCTACTGTATGCCTAGGTTAACCTAGACACTTCCCACCCATATGCTTTCCCTTTAGTGATGCAGTATTCATTCACTGCACCATCTGGGAGACAATTCATACATTCATATATATGTGAATATATAAACGCATTTATGTGGTCTGCCCCACTTAATGTACCATGAATGACTACCAGCATATGAAAGCTACACCCATAAAAATTATTAAATAAAATCAAAATATAAAATGAATCCCCTAGTAATAAAATGCAATAATGAAAGACAAAAATGTTAAGTGCAAAGATTCCCACATAATGCTGACCTCCATCCTAAAGAAATAGCTTTATCAAAACATCTACACCTACATTTACCAAGCACATGGTATTAAGTCAATCTCATCTTTAAGCTTTGATGTTAAGTAACCTACAGAGGGCAGAAAAGTCACATAATACCATCACCAATATAAAAAAACAGGATGTTAGTGCAATATAACTTTGGAAAAGTTGGGCAGGTGGATATATCAACTCAATTAAATGAAAACATCTCTTTGAAAAAAATATAAAAAATAAATATAATAAAAAAGGGAAGAAAAAATAAAAAAATAGAATAAAATTATCTAAGCTTTATCAAAGTCATCAACATATCTCAAGACTGTTTGAACTATCTATCTCTAAGACACTGATCTGATAGGGAAAGTTTCTTACCTGCCAGGACACTCTGCTTGAGAGGTTCTCCACAGTGAGGCGATAATCTGTGCGGGCTGGCATGCCAAATCTGCTGAAATGAAAACAGGGATGGGCATGCATTATGGGCTCCAACTTCTTACATGTATCCTGAAGTCCTTATGAGCCTCAAGAGAAATTTCTGACTGAACCCAATGCTTGACCCTTCTTCTATCATTGTTCTTGCGCCACATACATCCTTCATTCAAGAAATAGTATTGAACGTGCATGCATGAGTTTTACCAACACCATATATTCATCCTTTTCAATACCCTGCATGTGCCATTACTCTGACCTTTATTTCTCTCCACCTAAATAGAGCAAGACAATCCTACATGCAATTATAAATCTTTATTTACGAACTTCTGGATATTCTATTCCATTCAACAAGGATACTTATTTGTGATTTTAATCAGGGGGAAAAACAAGGAAATCATTCACACCTCTGCCCATCCCTGTACAGGACATCATTAGTAAACATAATATATTATAAATAATAATAGAAAAAATACCACTATACACCATAGAAACATCTTGTATCTGTATAAAATTAACCAAACAAGGACTTGCTAACCTTGCATGTATATACTTGCCTTGAATGGAACCCTCTTGGTGGAGGTGCTCTTGGCCACCTCATACGTGGAGCTGCGCGCGCCTTCTCTACAGTTACTCTAAGGTAAACATGTGCCATTTTAATATTTTGATAAGGTTGAAAGATATACAGCAGACAAGTAGTTTTCCTTTAAGTTAATTACATCTACTTTTGAAAATTTATTATTAGAATTCTGAATTACATTCCAGGAAAATTTAAATAACTGAAAGAATTCTACTTTGTTCTGTGAAAACATATTTCTATACTGACCTTCCTCCTAGGAGTTCTTTGCCATTCATCTCATAAACAGCATCATCAGCATCTCTGTCATCATCAAATTCCTATGGGAAGAATAAATAAATAAATAAATAAATAAATAAATAAATAAAATAGTGAGAAATATCTTGATCACAAAAGAGGTTAACACAATTTTTTGCCAGTGCATTTATATATATATATATATATCGTTATAATGGTGTACCAAGTATAATCATTTATATTCTTACCACAAAGCCAAATCCATTTTTGATAACAATATCTCTTAGTCTTCCGTACGACCTGAAGAATCTGTCTAAATCCCGTTCTCCCACACGGTAGCTTAGGCCACCCACATACACACGTGTACCAACCATTTTATCTGGAAAAGAATACATCCATAAATTTTTACTAATTTTGAATCAGTAAACCATATTCCATAGCATACTTAGCAATTATCAACGAGAGAACTAATTAACAACCGAGTAATATATAACCTATTTAATGGCAGTCAAGATTTGACTCTAAAACCTACTGATACTAGTACCAAATATCTAAAAATATTTTTCAGCTCAGTATTTTGCCCTCTAAAAGAATACCATTCAATCTGCCCAAGCCTAGTGAGTCCATGCCATAAAGTTTAACCTAAATATTATAGACGCTAGAAGTGGTTGACAAGATTGTTAAGGGCTCCTTTCCTTTAGTGCTCTGGCAAAGGCCAACTAACTTCTACCATGTATATTCTGACAAAACAAAACAGGTTTCTTATTTCAAAAGATTGCCAAAAGTTCTACAAACGCTATTTTGTCAGTAAATACATGGTGGAAGTGTGTTGCCAGTTGCTAGAATACAAAAGACACATACTTCATGACAGTCATTGAGAGACTGCTAGTAAATCAGCAAGATTTCTCATTATCCACCACAGAACAAAACGTTGTGTGTGGAATGAAATAGAATATGTATTCACAGTGGGGGGAAATCCATATCTACATGCACTTGGGGTGTGTCTGTAACATTTATAATGATGATAATATCTGCTTGATTATCTTGAGCCACATTAGCAAACCAATAAAACAACAAAAAAATCATTTATCACATCTGATTTACAAGCTCACCATACCAGTCAAAACTGCTGACGACCAAATACTTATTTCAAGAAGATAAAGAGTAAAAAAAAATATACAGAAAACTGATAAAACCTGCTCCCAATTTTACCTAAACTTCCATACCAAATACATTCAAGGAAATACCAAATCGAGAATAAAATCTATTCAACAACCCCTCTAGCAAAGCCTCGGCTAAGACGAATAGCTAGCAGAATATCCAATAAAGTTGGACACTGAATTATCCATGGTTGAACCTTGGCTTGGCATAATCAATACTTACATTCCACTCTACTAACTCCTATTTCCTCTTAAGTTAAGTGCATCATTAAAATTTGAACATGGTCTCATAAAACGGCCACTCAAAGAACTCTTTATTAACATAATCATGATGAAATACTATTTTCCGGAAGGGTGCAAGTTCTAATTAGTGTGAAGTGTGTGAAGATGGCAACATGGCGAGTCCTTTGGGCCGCCCCCTCCCCCTCGCCACCTCCCTTCTTCTCCCTTCTTCACTCCCTCTCCTCTGTCCTCCTTCCCTTTCCCGTAATCTCCATCCCTTCCTCATTACGTCACCATCCAGATTTTCAGTTATGCTCAGGAAAAAAATGCCTCGATAGCCCCCTACCTCACATGTGGAGTCGAAGGTAAGAATCTGCCGTCGCCGTCCCTCTTGCGTGGCGAGTGTGTGGATGTGGTGGGTGGCGCAGTCAGGGAGACGGGGGCGGGGAGGGAGGGGGGAGGGGGGGAGAGGACGGGGCGGGAAGGGTGAATGGGGAGGGGAGGAAGGCGGAGAGGGGAGGAGGGAGGAGGGGGTGGATAGGGGGTAGAGGACGGGGCGCAGGGACTGGGGGGAGACTAGATGGGGGCGGAAGGGGGGACGGGGTAGAACAGATTGGGGAGGGAGGGAACGGGGAGTCGGACAGGGGGACAGATGGCTAGGGGCAATGGATGGGGGAGGGGAGGGAGAGGGCAAGCGGGGTGGGGGTGAATGGGATGAGGGAGTGAGAGAGTAGGAACAGGAGGGAGAGACCCGGGGGAAAGGGAGCTGGGGAGGAGGGGGAGAAGTGCTGGCAGAGAGAAGGGAGGGGGGAGGGGTGTTGGAAGAGCGGAGGGGAAGAGGAGGGACAGGAATGGGCGGCGCAGAAGCAAGATAGAGAAGGGTTGTGCGCAGCTCTTGTACACAGCTGCCGGACGCCACCCGACGCTACCACCACAACTGCGGCAAATTGAGACTCACTCTCCACACGCCACGCCCGGATTGGTGGCTAGAACCCTCAATGATTCAGATGACTCTTTATCCACCCTCGCACGATTAAATATGTTATCTTGAATTACGTGGCATTGGCTTTATCCCAACGTGAATGTCACCCTGCTACTGTCAGTGAAGGTTACAACTAGCGTTTGCCCGAAGAGCAGCCTCTACACATTAAGGGACCGACCTCACTAGTAATTATTCAACCACATTTCCCTTTCCACACGTGCCGATGGCAAATCGGCAGGTGGGCCAAAGTAAATTGTCAGATAATTACGAAAACTAAAGCAAGCTACACTAATCATACGGAAAACACAATAATCTTATTCCGACTTTATTTCAAATGTTTTCTGGTTAACGTCGAACGCAACAATTTTGCCAAATAAATGATTTCGTCACAACTCTCCAGGAAATAAGTAGGGATGAGTCATCACAATCAGACATTATTATTGAAATATTTCATATACCTCTAGTATCCCCCAATAAAAACTTTGGAAACTTTAAAACTATGACTGTACAACTTCACAAAGCAGATACATTAAACCAGTCATCGATCTTGTTGAAAAATGCTAATACTAGTAAACATTCCTCATGTAAATTCCAAGGGTCACAGTTACTAGTCATTATTAACTCAAAATTTAAAACCCACCAACCGACTCTAATATGTATAAAAAGCAATGACAAGCACTTTAAAACTTTATGGATTATTTTAAATAACTGCATATTTGACCGCTTGAAAAAGACGATTATATTTTCTATCCCAGTTATTTACAACCGCTATAACATCTTGAGCTTCAAACTGCTTTAAATCGCGACTATACTCGCTGAGACTTGTTGCTATGAGCAGTTGACAAGTTCGCCGAGAATGTAAAAACTGAATTCAACAAAGGACGGTTTGAGACATTTGGCTGCCTATTTAATCAATCAGAATATCGCTTAAATGCTGAATACGATATCACAAAAGAAAAATGTAAGGGATCTTTTGTCTTCCAAGATTCACACTATAGCTTGCTTAGTTTATACCTCAATCCAGCAATGTCCACCTTCCTTATAACCACCATTATAAATATACCACGACCGCGTTGTTTATTTATTCATCAGCCGACCTTCTAACCACCGGCAAACTAAGCGTTGTCAGTCTGTCACGAACACCCAGCAGGGGAGAGTCGTTACCAAAAATAGCATTACACGACCTCCCTAAGCTACCTTCAAAAATCAACCATTATACCGAGTGACAAAATCCCCCCTGTTCAATGCCACTGAAACTCGCCGTAGCAGTGGAGGTGAGCGCGTGAATTTTTTGTTTCTTGGTATAATAAAGGCCAGGTAAATTTGCAGATTTTCTCCTCGAGTGAATTGGTGAATATGATTCTTTAACCTCGGCGCTTACCTTGGCGTACGTCCAGGGAGCGGAGAGGCGCAGGACAAGGCTGTCAGCAGTGAAACAGATCCTCCGTACCCAATCAGCCTCCTGCATGCTTTGCGATGCGCTCTAAGTAGGTATAATTACCTCAGCTGGAGAGAAGAGTAGTTTTGTTGGAGGTTGATCTTTTATGTAAAACCATCTCAGATAGGTTAATGAATTTCAATCCTCTTCTGAGTACATTGAAATTAATACTTTTGTAAGGCAATATAGTTTGAAATAGAAAGGTGTGCGAGAGAGTATATACACACAAACACGATAAATAAATATATAAATAAGTAGATAAATATATTATTAAATAAAAAAAATATGTGTGCGAGAGAGAGCGCGCGCACACACACACACACACACACACACACACACACACACACACACACACACACACACACACACACACACACACACACACACACACATACATACATACATACATACATTACATACACACACACGCGCGCGCGCGCACACACATAAACACAAGTGTATGTGTGTATGTATGTAAATATACATATATATATATATATATATATATATATATATATATATATATATATATATATATATATAAAACATGTACATATGTATGTGTGTGTGTATGTATGTATGTATATTTGCATTTATATATACACACGCACACACGCTCTCTCTCTCTCTCTCTATATATATATATGTGTGCGTATATATATATCATATGTATATAATATATATATATATATGTATATATATATATATATATATATATATATATATATACATACATATATATATATATATATATATATATATATATATATATATATATATATATATATATACATACATATATATATATATATATATATATATATATATATATATATATATATATATATATATATATATATATATATATATATATACGTGTGTGTGTGTATCTGTCCATGAATATAATATATGTATATATATATATATATATATATATATATATATATATATATATATATATACATATATATATATATATATATATATATATATATATATATATATATATATATATATATATATACATATATATATATATATATATATATATATATATATATATATATATATATATATATATATATATATACATATATATATATATATATATATATATATATATATATATATATATATATATACATATATATATATATATATATATATATATATATATATATATACATATATATATATATATATATATATATATATATATATATATATATATATATATATATATATATATACATATATGTGTATATACGTGCATATGTGTACGTATATGTATGTATCTATATTTTTATGAGTATATATTTATGTGCGCAAAAACAATGCAAATAAACAAACTTAAGGTTCCTGCCACTCCAGTAGTGCTCTCGTACTCATATCACAGTAGTCCTTATCTCACTTTTTCTTTGCAATTTTTATATTGCTACAATTGATTATTGTTATTTTGGGATCACTTATCACTGGATTACTTCACTGGGAGGGACTAATGTAAAAAAAGTAATTAGAACTGTATGTATTTTACCTTCCATGTAGTTGTATGTGTGGTGTTATGTTTTAACTTGCCTCCAAAAAGAATTAATAAATAAATAAATATATAAAGATAATAGAGATAAATATATAAAGTAAGATTCAAATCAGGATTTTCCATAAGATCTAACAAGAATATCCAGTGCGCATTAAATTCATTTCAAATTTTAGCTCTGAAGGCAGTACTTGGGTGCTCAACAAATGCAAACCCTTAGAATGTGAAAAATCTGAAAAAAAGAGAAGTCTTACAATTTTCACTGTTTTTTGTGGATCTTCTTGTTTTCTCTCTCCCTGCTCTTCGTTCTTCTTTCACTCTCCCTCCTCTCTCTCTCTGTCTCATTTCTCTCTCTCTCTTTCTGTCTGTCTGTCACTATGCACCTACAGAAAGTCGGCTAATATCGGTATCATGACATAACAGAACCAGTGCATAAAATTTAATCGAAAGAGTCGAGCTGATACTGTCACTGACCTACATAACTGATGATTGGTATAACTACTGTGTGTATCGATGTCACGAACCAATTTCTAATAATAAAACTAGACAACATCATCTATTAAATCACACACACACGCGCGCGCGCGCGTACGCGTGCGCATTTGTTTTCAGAAAAAAATCCACTTTTAAAATCTTATTTGTATGCTTGAAGACACGATGAACCCCTAAAAAAAGAAAAAAAATGAAGACATTGAAGTATAATTTGTTCAGAGCTTAACATGAAGTGCCATCGACAGTATATGGACAGTAATATATCTAATTCTAGGGGGAGGGTACATAAAATTCATTGGATCTAGTCCTAAAAGATACTGAATCCAAATTTGCTTCCATTCCATCTACTTTTTTACGAGTGAAAATATTCGACCATATGGGAGAAATATTGTAACAAATTTTGCTATTTAGCTCCTCCTGTAGTATGTATGTATTATACGTTATTTGTTCGTTTAATTTGAATCTTGATGAAGTATCAGTTAAATGACTAGCTCGGTAAGCAGTGAAAAAAAATTATCATAGTTGTGACGAAATAGGATGGTAATATTTAGCTACTGAGAACGTGTTAAAGATGTAAGATTATTAGGGTAAAGCTAATAACATAAACATCATGAATATAGGTCATAAGAACAATCAAAATAGAATACCATTTGGGTTGAACACACAAATACATAGCTTGCCATTACTTATTCTGTGGAGTCTCGACGCTAATCGTATTTTCGGATTAGGTCTGAGAGAGTTTGGTGGTTCACGAGTGTGTCTTTTTCTTTTTTTTCTTTTTAGTTTGGGGATTAGTCTTGCCCCTGAGGTACGATTGAGTGTGTCTTTTTTTTCCTTTCTTTTTAGTTTGGGGATTAGTCTTGCCCCTGAGGTAC